GGAGAAGAGGAGGACCAGGGGAAGAGGGGGAAGCGGAAGACCAGGGAACAGGAGGACCAGGGAAGAGGAGGACCGAGGAGGAGGACCGAGGAGGAGGAGGAGGAGGAGGACGACGACGAGGAAGAAGAGGAGGAGGTGGAGGAGGAGGAGACGGAGGAGGAGGAAGAGGAGGAGGAGGAGGAGGAGGAGGAGGAGGAGGAGGATACGAGGAGGAGGAGGGGGGGGAAGGAGGGAGAGAAGAGAGAGAGGTGGGAGAGACGGAGGACAGGAGGGGGGAGTGGGGGGGGATGAGAGGATGATGATGATCATGATGATGATGATGATGATGATGAATGATGATGATGATGATGATGATGATGATGATGATGATGATGATGATGATCATGATTGATGATGATGATGATGATGATGATGATGAGGATGATGATGGAGGAGGAGGAGGAGGAGAGAGAGGACGGAGACGAATGGACGGACGGACGGACGGAGGAAGGGAGGAGGAGGAAAAAGAGGAGGATGGAGGAAGAGGAGGACGAGGAGGAGGGGGAGGAGGACGACGACGAGGAGGAGGACAGAGAAGAGGAGGACGGGGGAAAAGAGGGGAGGGAAGGGAGGGAGGGAGGAGAGGCGGGGAAGGAGAAGGTGGAGGAAGAGGACAGAGGAGGAGGGGGAGGAGACAGGAGGAGGAGCAGGAGGAGGAGGAGGAGGAGGAGGACACAAGGCGCAGCATAGAACGACGAAGCATCCAAAAACGCGACGCCGACTACATACATGGAAAAGGGGGCGTGAAAAATCATCCGCATTCCTAGAACACACATTCTACAGAAAATGCAAATCGTGGGGGGGGGGGGCCATCGGTATTTTGACGGCACCCACCCGGCTCTGGCGTAACTGGGCGGCACCCGACAGGCCTCCCCTCCGCATCACAGGCCAGACAGGGAACGCCCCACCCTGGCACGCCAGGCCTTGGCACGACGGCGGGCAAGTCCGAAGGGACGGCACGCCAGCCCCTGGCACGCCGACGGGCTGGATCCCGGGGGTACCGAAGGACTCGGCTCTCCGATCGCATCCAACTTCGGAGGCCCCAAGGCCACCCGGGGCCCCACAGAGGCCACACAGTACGTGACTACCCACCAGACCACCCCAACCCAACCCGAAGACCCGAATTTCGGGTTGGGGGGGTAAGGGGTCCGCATGTGTTTTTTTTCGATGTTTCCCGACCCCCCCCCCCCCACACTGGAAATCGAGGGTAAATCTGAGCCTTCGGGTTGGGTTGGGGTGGTTTGGTGGGTGGCGAGTACGGGAAAGGCCCTGCCCTGCACAGTGGATCCCGTGCTCGTCGCACTGCAACAGGTATCCTCCCGCCTCCGCCTCCAGAGCGGCTGCAGCAACAGCAAGGGCAGCCTCCCCCTCCCCCGAGACATGCCGCCGCCAGCCCAGCCGCTCGGTGGCAGCCGCCAGCTGGCGCAACATCGGGCCAGGCTCGCAACGCGCCCCTGGTTCCAGCAGCGACTTGCAACTGGCTGGGGTCAGAGCAACGGCCAAACAACGCCTGCACTGAACCGCCGAGGACCCAGGAGCCAGGGGCACGGTGTCACGAGCCACTAGCACTAGCTGGGACACACGGGGCCCAGGGGTCCGAGCAGGCACTGGAGCAGCAGGCGCCTGGGAGACCTCGGGACGAGCGCAAATTATCTGGACGGCACGTGAGAGAAACTGGCATGATAATTTACAATCGCTCATCGCGGCCTGGAGCGACGCAACCGCCACATCGGCAATAGCAATGTCCTGGGCCCCTAGCTTGGCAAAGAACTCGGCCCAAGTATTACCCATTAAACGCCATATCTCACCAGTGCCCGCATCCTGATCGATTAACCCCTGGAGCGACAAGTGCGCAAGAGTCCAGTGGAACTCAGGACGCAGGTCACGTTGGGAGCAGACACGGAAGATGTTGCGCCAAATCGACGCGTGGGCTGCGGCATCACACCCCAGGATGGGATCCCAGCCTCGCGCTTCATTGACAAACGGAACGTGATCGCTGATTATGACAGGTGGCAGGCCCCCCGAGGAGCCGAGGGCGACGGCATCTAGCCCCGCCCACCTCTCGCTCCTAAGGACCGTCTCAAAACGCCCTGGGAGCCCGCAAGACCTGGCCCTCGATGGCCACCCATCCTCAGAAATGTCAACCACGCTCCAGCCACATCTAGTGGCCTCGGGCACCGAGCTATGGAGCCCAGACCCGTCCGTGAACCGAAACCTGCCCGAGGAACCTTCCGCGAGACCCCAGGTGAGCACAGGCGGCCGAACCAGGGGAGAAGGCAACTGGATAGGGAGAGAGGGGACCCCGTAGACCGAAGACACGACATCCCGGTCGACCGACCCCAGAGACCTCCCACTCTCAAGAGCGAGGCCTGCATGTGCTTCCAAACATCCTCAAGGAAGCCCATGCCATCCCCCGAATCCTCGCCCGAGGCGAGAGCACTGGAACAATCGAAACGCTGATGGCCCATGGACCCTCGCTCCGCTCCGCAGAAGGTGCACTGAGCTGACGGAGCCAGGCCGGCGTCGAACTTGCGAGCAGGCGGCCCGGACCACAGGGCACGCATCGAACCTTGACGGGCACCGGCTGGGAGAGCCAAGAGGGGCAGGCGCATCGCGCGCGCCCGACAAACCTCGGCCCCCGTCGCCTCTGGCCAGTGGAAGGGGACCCTACGCCAAAGCCAACGCTCGACCCCGACTCACACGAGGCACCGAACTTCGCTGGGAGAGCATCCGCACAGAGAAGTGCCTCGCCACGGCCCGAAGGGAGGAGGTGGGTGGCCTCCGACCCCCAGCCAACGCGACGAAGCGTGAGAAGCACAGCAGAGATGGGACCGAAGCGCTGCCTCCAAGTCGGGAGCGGCCAAGAGGGGGGTGTCCAAGAGGGGGGGGGTGCAAATCATGACCGGCGGCACGTGCGCGGCCCAGCGGGGGGCCAGGGACGTAATGAAACAAGAAGGGGCGCCATGAAATCTGGGGAAAAATCATGGCCCCCGCCATGAGATCCACCCCCCCCTAGTCATCACCCCCCTCTTGTCCGCCCCCGACCAAGACCCCTGCTGACCCAGCCGGTCACGGATGGCCACGACCGCAGCCCCGAGGCGAGAGGGCGAGGCCCGGCCGCCCCAGGGCCAGCACGCACACCTGACCACCATAGGACAGGGTGGCGTCGAAGGTGGGAGCATGGAACCTGTCCCCTTGCGTGCACGTGTATGCCGTGAGCGGCGCGAGGCCTCGCCTAGCATCTTGGATCGTCATGACGCCCCCCCCCCCGAGCTCTTGTCTCTCGAGGAGATCGCTCAACCAGCAGCCACCTGCAGGTCGGACGGTGTGGGGGGTAGAGCAAGGGCGCCCTCGAGGCCGCAAAGTGATTTGCGCTGCGCGCTTCGCGGTTTTTCGACTCCGATCCCTCATCCTCCGCTTCTCCCCTGGGGGGCGGAACGAGGGCACGCACCCTTGTAGAGAGTCAGGGTTGCTCCGCCTTAGAGTTTCTCCCCGATCTCCGGCGATAATTTGCTTTGCAGCCCCGATATCCGCCGCCATCGTGCGGGCGCTGCGGCGAGTGAAATCATCGCGACCCAGCGAGGCTCGTCCCCAGGCCGTGTGGTGGCCAGCTTGATCCAGAGGGGCCTTTTGTCGATACGAACTCATGCTATAGGAAGTCATGTACACAAAGCCGCTCAGAGCTCAAGTCGGGCCTGCTCCCTCGTTCTGGCGACGCCTGGCCAGGCACAGGTCACACAGAAAATCTCAAGATATTCTGGAAGAGCACCATGTGCCTGGGCGATCACGGAGAAGTGCGCAACAGCATCAGCATTTGTCCACATCGAGGAAATATCGGCGGGAGAACGTTGTTATACCCCCCTAGCCCCTCTGCGAGTTGTTGATTAAACAACGAAGTCATGTACACAAAGCCGCTCCACGCGCTCACTCTATCTTCGTCTCGCGAGCGAAGGACGACGGGCGTACACAGACTATCCCAAATGCCTTCAGGGCCTGAGAGCAGCTCGGTCTCATCGGTCTCCCGCTCGATCGTGCTCGAGGTCCACTTCTCGACGGGGAACGCCTCCACGCGAGGCAGACTGGCCATGACGTCCGCGGCCCCAGAGCCCTCGCAAGCGCCCACGAGTTCCGCGCTGACAGCCATCAGCCCGAACAAATCCAGATGGGACTGCGAAGCACTGAGAGCCTCGTCTGCGTAGGCAGTGGCCAGCCAGCCGTGCAAGAGGGACCCCGGCATCTTCGGAAATCTGGGGCCGCGCTTGCCCTCGAGCTGGCAGGCCCGCTCGTGGCTCGACGGGCCTGGGTGCATCCGGAGGGCTCCCCAGCGGATGCGTGCCAGGCCCACCACCCCCCGTGGGTCATCTGCCCCTGTCTTCGCCTCCGACGCTCCTCTTTTCGTCGAGCTTCACGAGATCTCGAGGCCTCTTCCGGCGGAGGCCTGGGGGGGGGGGGGAGGGCGGGCCCGAAGATCCGACGCCCTGGCTTTTTCGATGCGGGGCCCCCAGATGCTCCCGCCCTGTCCCCGAGGCCAATTCCTCATCCCAGGCCGTCTTCTCAAGGTCCCGTGGCCCGGCGAAGGCCCCCCGAGGACGAACACAAATCAGAAACCCTCCAGGCGCGATTTCTTCGCGAGGGGGGCCCCGACGTCCGCCAATCTGATATATCATTTTTTTCCCCGCGGCCCCGGAGGTTGGGACCGCTTCCCCAGGAGTCATTCTTCGCCCCGGAACCGTGTTTGAGGGTTCGGGGTCCCTTCAACGAGACCGAGACGGCGAAATCAAAAAAAAAAAACGGGGCTGCAAAGCGAATGATCGCCGGATATCGGGGAGAAACTCTGAGGCGGAGCAACCCTGACTCTCTACAAGGGTGCCTACCATCGCGCTGCCCCCCAGGGGAGAAGTGGAGGATGAGGGATCGGAGTCGAAAAACCCGAAGCGCGCAGCGCAAATCACTTTGCGGCCTCGAGGGCGCCCTTGCTCTACCTCCCACACCTTCCGACCTGCAGGTGGCTGCTGATTTAGTGATCTCCTCGAGAGTCAAGAGCTCGAGGGGGCCGTCGTGACGCTCCAAGAAGTCCGCCCAGAGCTCCGAAAGCCCATGTTCATACCATGTTTCGTCCCTCGGGGAAATCACTGAGTCTCAACAGGCTAAGTCCAGACAGGGTAAGCCCAGACGGGGACCGAGCACTCTGTACGGACTTACTCCGCATGGACTCAACATCCGCTGACTGAATCAGTCACCTGCTGGTCAGACGGTGTGTGGAAGATGGAGGGTCAGGGAAGAATGGCCCGCCGGAGGGCGGCGCCGACTTCGGAGCGCATTGGCAAGACTGCGCTCTGGGACAGGCCTGGAGGCCGAAGGGGGCAGGAGGGAGGAGAAAGGGGGGGATCAGCCATGGAGGAGGAGGGAAGAGGAGGGAGGAGGAGGAGGAGGAGGAGGAGGAGGAGGAGGGAGGAGGAGGAGGAGGAGGGAGGAGGAGGAGGAGGAGGAGGAGGAGGAGGAGGACGAGGAGGGGGGGATCTGCCATGGAGAGTGCCTGGACCTGCCAGCGCCGTGGAGAAAGGCGACGAGCAGTATTTTTCCCCGCGCTCGGCCTCCAGAGGGGGGACCTCGCAGGACGACCCCAAGACCAGCCAAAAAACGACTCGGGATGGGAACCCAGTCCTGGGGAGACGGGGGAAAACAAACCTGCCTCGCTTTTGACCACCCTCGCTTTTTGAAGAGATACCAGAAGCGATGCCAAACTACGGCCCGTACTGGTCAGGCCGCTTGACGAGGAGGCGCGTGGCATGACTTGGTTGTGCCTGGAAGCGAAAGCGGGGCAGGTAGTTCACGCTCTGGTGTTGGGACTTCTGGGGACGCCGTGCTTGACAAAAAAACAATCCACCGCTTGTCTGGGCCCCTGCGATGTACCCTAATAGAGAAGACGCTCCCAGGGCGTGCCTACCGCACTCGCCTGAGCATTCCCGCTGGGCGGGGACACTTACCCAGAGAGACTCGCTTGAGGTGATATTCCCCCTTGGCAGTCCGATACTCGTATCTAACTGCCAGTGCAAGTTGCATGAAGGCTACCACAACTGGTGGAACAGAAGTACTCGTCCATACAACCTACATGCGATAGCGTGAGCGCTGAGTGGAGCGCCTCTCCTCCCACACTCAACCCCGACGAGTAGAGGGAGAGAGGAGGAGCGAGGAGGAGTGAATGAGGAGGGATGGAGTTGGGAAGAAATGAAGAGGGGAGTGGAGAGGGTTGGAAAGGGAGGGGTAAGAGGGAGGGGAAGTAGGAGGAGGACGGCGACGACAACGGCGACAACGACGAGGAAGGAGGAAGGGGGCAGGAAGAGGACGAGGACAAGGGAGGAGGGAGCAGGGAGAGAGGAGGGCGCATGTACGAATATCTTTGCTGCAGACAGTACCCGTTTCGCAGTGCACTCTCAAAGACTGATACCGTTCCGAGCAGCTTCAACCTAGCGTCAGCTTGAGCCCTACTTTGTGAAACCTACGCATACGACTCCTCAACATCAGCTCTGGGTTCAGCTTCAGCATTACATGTTCAGCGGTCCACATCATGCTTGATTCTTGCTAACCTAACACAATTACACGCCCGCCCGCTCGCTTGTCTTAGAGCTCACTCGCGTGGAATAGCCTGGAACTGGGCATGGGCCGTAGCTAAGCCTTCCCCGGCTTCAGCTTACAACCACATGGTGTTGACGTATATCAAGTTCGCATGTCTCACATCACATGTCGTCACATGTGCATCTGGATAATAGCAGTTAGACGGCGTTGTAATGACCTGCGCGTGCAGTGGGGCTCCCTGTAACATGGTATATACTGCGCTGCTATGCGCTGTCTGGGCAAACATGGACGCTATGTCTTGAGTTTGCTCCAACATCATGACTAATGTTGGGGGTCGCAGACTCGGCGAACGCGCGAGTCGGTCGTAGCGAGCGCTGGGCCGTAGCGATGCGACTTGTGCACAAGGAAGCTCGACGAGCGGAACATCAGAATTACACGCAGCCTTAGATCCTCCGCCCACAGGCTGCCTCTTGCCAGCAGCACAAGTAAACAAGTGCATGCGGTCATGCCCATGAGTGCCTCAGGCGGCTGCAGGCACGCATGTCACAACGGAAGCTTAATGCAATGAGCCCGGCAAGCACAGAGAAACTGCAGCAAGTGCCGCAGAAAGCGTGGCCCCGCAGCGTCTGGAACAGGACATCTACCATTCCCGAGCCGCGCGCTACGACTCGACTCCGAGCTTGTTGCTCGGCACCGCAGCCGACGAGCGCAGGCCCCCAGAGGTCCCATGGAGGCCCTCGAAGGTCTCCCCAGTGGCCCACGGAAGCCTTCCGAGGCCCAGAAGAGCGAAAAGCACGTTCAGGATCACCGACCCTGGCATTGCCCAAGATGACCTCAAGGTGGCCTCCAGAGGCCTCTAGATTACACCAATATCGCCCAAGATGG